CGAACATGTTGAAGGACCACATTTGAATGATTCAAAGCTGCAGATGAGATGTGGTTGCTGATCGAAACCTCTGATCCTTAGGGTCTGTTTGGTTTGAGGGGAGGGAAGGGGAGGGAGGGGAGGGGGAGGTAGGGAAGGGGAGGGGAGGTTTTATCTTCACCTTGTTTGGTTTGATTAAAAAGGAGGGGAGGGGAGGGTATTTAATGATCCCTTGTTTGGTTCAAGGAGGGGAGGGGAGGGATAGTAATAATCAATTTACCATTTTACCCTTACATATTAGTTTATGTTTTTTATTGATATATTATATAAATTAATTTACATCTTAATTTAAATTATATAATTTAATAAAAATTCAGTCTTATCATGTTAATATGTGTATTAAAAAATTGGTATAGTAATTTTTTATTCTAATTAATATAATAATATATTTAAAATAATCAAATTAACAAATTTTATATGCTCTAAGAAAAATGAAATTTTATTTTCTTTAGGCTATCTTTTTTTCCAACTTTAAAATATATTTAATAAATAATATATTTATAAAAAACAATTAATTTTATATATTATAATTTTTTATTTAAATAATTTTTTATTTTTAAATAATTTTTATAATATATTTTTAATTATAATAATGTATATATTTTTTATTTTTTTACTTAGGATAATATATTTTTTATTTGAAATAAATATTATAATAATATATTTTATGGGTAGAAGTGGAATATTAAAAAAATCATAAGGGCATAATAGTCCAAAATTTTGGCTCCCCTCCAAAAACCCCCAATTTGGAGGGGAGCCAAAATGGGGGAGGGGAGGGGAGGGGCCCCTCCCCTCCAAAATTTTTAACCAAATGAGGGGAGGGGCTCATTTTCCCTCCCCTCCCCTCCCCTCCCCTCCCCTCCAACCAAACACACCCTTAATGTAGTCAACCTATTTTTAAATATCTCTAATTTTTAATATAAAAATTAGTTTGATATTCAATTTGATTATAAATATAAAATTTCAAATCTACTTTGCCTATTATATTTATTTATTTATTTAAAGTAGTCTTTATAGTAGTTGTACATGTTAAATATTTCATCAAATTGTAATTTTAGCGATTACATTTGATTAGCAGGATATTTTAGGAAAGACAATACCTATTTATTACAAATAAGTAACTCAACTAATTTTCTTACTATACTCAAATTAGTCAATTAGTTCTTATATTAAAAATCGGAGATAGTGTTATATAAGGTAAACATGTTATAGGAGTTTTATCTCTTAAATCTCAAAAATAATTTTTTGAGAGTAATTAAAAGCTAAAATACCCACCATATCTAAGTTTACTCTGATGGGAAGGAAGATGCTCAGATTAAAAGCTATTTTGATCATTTATACAAAATTTCTTTCGTTGATATATAGATAATGATGGTCTTTATTTTCTAGCCCTTGGATGGCGTTATGAACTTTCCTAGAGGCACATTAATTCTTATGATTTTATGGAATTTTGATTCCTATAATTTTAAATTATTGTTTTTTATCCTTATAATTTTATAATTTTTTTATTTGAATTTAACAATTGGTTCTTATAATTTTAACGAGTTTGGTCCCTATACTTACACTCATACCATGTCTTTATAAAATTATAGGAATGACCAAAATAAAAGTTAGATCAAATTATAAGGAGCAATAATAATATTAATCTTTCTTGAAATTTGTTTAATAATAAAAATTACAGGACATACTTATTTTATTGATTTTAAAATCGTTTGACATGTATCTGCTTTATTTTAATGCTGGCATGATGAACCTATCTGGACGCACATTTTATGTCCTATCTTAAAATTTGTATAATGTAAATGTCATGTTGCAAAACTGATTTTTTGCCAACGCATGTTAAAAAACAGATTAATAGTAGGAAAAATGACAAATAAAGACCATCAAATTACCAAAATAACCAAAGATAACTTGAATAAGCAAAATTACCATGAAGGACCCAGTCTCATATTGCACATATAAAATCTTGGCAAAATGTTTGAAATGCTTCTCAACTAAGTTGTGATTTGGTCTACTAAAGTGGTCATTCACTAAAATAAACTTGTTATTTTTCATAGTCAACTTGTCATTTGGTATACCTTCAACCAAGTTATGATTTGATCTATTGAAGTTGTCATTCGCTAAAATGAACTTGTCATTTCCTATAGTCAACTTGTCATTTAATTGAGGTGCATTTTAGACATTTCACTAAGATTTCATATTTACAATATGGAACTGAGTCCATCATGGTAATTTTGCTTACTAAGGTGACCTCTGAGTAATTTTGGTAATTTAAGAGTCTTTATTTGTGATTTTCCCTTAATAGTATAAATATAAATTTAAATCTATAAATATATGCCACATAATAAAAAATTGGAGGATATATTATTTTGATATGATATGTTATCTTTGAACCTAAATATAAGATCTAGTTATATAATATAAATTGTAGTACAAACAAGATACTATATTTAGGAGTAGAGGTAGTATATTAGTTTCAATTATTAGCTGTTAAAACAAGGCCATTTATTCTTAACTCATCAACGGGTCACGTTAAGACTCTCAGCTTTGAATACCAAATCAATGATAACTGGAAAAACTGTCACTAAATAATCCTTCACGAATTATGATCAGATTCTATTTTTGATGCACATGATCCTCTTGAAGAGATAAATGCAAAGTACACTTAGAATTTTTGACGACAGAAGAAAGACATTATAAGTGAGGCTTTTAAAAGAGAGAAATTTAGAAAGAATTCATGAGGAAAACACACTAGTATCATACAAAAAGTTCTTACAACTCCTTCTACCTGTAACTGGAGGTAAAGTGGGGTTTATATAGAGGCTCGGGATTATAACATGACAAATCCTAATAGTAGACGTTATTTTGATGATTTGATATAAAGGCAGGATGCCTTTAATACACAACTACTCCTTGCAACTACTCTAATAATGACAACCACCTTGATTGTTATAAAAAGATGAAATACACAATATGATGAACTACTTTAATAAAACAAAAGTAGATGGTGACATAAAGTAGATTTCTAGTAGGTTCCTCTTATCTTCTTGAGGATAATGTCTACCGTAGGCTTTTACAGATAGGTTCATGGCCAGGGGACAGGTTTATGACACCTTATGGGTCAGGGTCATTTGAGTCATAGTGTCTCCTTATGTAATAGTATTCTTCAAGTTCTGTGAGGCGGGCCTTATCATCATCATCTTAGTTAGGATCCTGGGATTCTCCTGCAAGAAATGAAAGTTGTGACTAAAAACTTGGCTGAGAGAAATGGAGTCCTTCAGGCTAAATGAGTTTGATATGTGAGTCTCCTTGATAAGTTTCTTGGGCTACTTCTGTTGAAGGAGGAACTTATGACATATTTGGTGGAGGTTTGACTACATTCATGATGAAATTTTTTTGAAATTCTTCAAGTATTTTGCTGCTGGCTTAAGGTGAAGTAGGAGAATTAGGAGGGAAAGATCCAAGAGAAAGACATAAAGTGTCTTTTCCCGTATCTGATTTTTAACTCAGAATGATGTTGTGTCATACTCAAGCAGAAAATATATATAAAATCTAATTTTGTTACCTTGAGTCACTTATTTTCCAGTTTAAGTGATTAATCTGACCAGTCAAATGACCGGTTTACAGAGTTGTCAGTCTAATCCAAATTTTAAAGCAATAATTACAAATTTACAACATGAGTTACATAACTTATATACTTCTTAAAAGTTTATTTAAATCTAGCAGTTTGACAATATAGCCCCTCGCCCCCTCTATAATTTTGACATTTTCTCTGGAAAGTAAAGTTGATGTCGCCATCCATATGAATTTTCAAATCATTTTTTATTTTAATTATAAAACCTCATTTATAATATATAAATAAAAACTTATAATTAAAACTGAAGAAAGGATTTTAAATGTTCGTTTTATTTTTTGTACAAGACATGGACACAGAGTCCCTCGCGGGACACCCCGCCATGGCGTTTTCTAATTTGGACAAAGACTCCTTTTGTTTCAAAGTAAAGTCGGAATCCGTGATAGATTCTCATGTTGTAAATGATTACTACAGCTCATTTCATCTGTCATGTAAATGATTACTACTCTTCATTTTTCTCGACTTGAGAGTTATTTTATAATATAAAATAAATTTTACATTTAAAATTAAAGTAGTATTATTTGTGTCATATGTCTGTGTTCTTTTTATTTGTTTGTCTTACTATCCGTTTGGTGCGAGCAAAACGGATAAGAAAATTTTAATAAATTTGTTTTAAAAAAATTAAAGAAATAAGGTTTTAAGATTTTAATAGAAAAATAGATAACAATAATAAAAATTAATTAAAAATTTTTAATTTTAAAATTTTAGTAGAAAGAACTTGTAAGATAAAAGAATAATAAGAATTTTCAGCATCACTTTTCTATTTTTTTTTTCCAGTTTTCTAAATTCGGCTCATTAAATTTTTTCTGCTGTCTCTTTTTTCTTTTTTCCCCTTCATATGTAGGATTAGCCCCCACACATCAACACGAGGAAAAAAGTTAAAGCTGGTATCAACGTTAAATTATTGACATTTTATCTTTTTATTTATTTGCATAACAGTAAAGGAAAAATAACATACGCGGAAATTATATCAAACAAGAATTACTTCAAAATTTCAAAAATAAAATTTTCCGAACTTTACTGCCTCTGAGACCAAAATTGGAAATGGAGTGCTTGGCCATGGTTGGTTTCTGCCAGTCCCCATCCGCCCAATCCTAGGTAGTAGATATCGTCACTTCATGTGCAGAATGCCAAGTGTGAATCACGATTCACGAACACAAGAAGACGGTTAAAATTCTGCGAGAGAGACAAGACAGAGAGAGCCAGAGAGTGAGTGTACGAGTGTGTGGACATGGAGAGAGAGGCACATACACTGCATAAAAAGGCGTCGAAAATTGCTGAAGGATGGCTCAAAGCTGAGAGCTTTATCGTTTCAGTGAGCGGAGTCCGTGAGGACAGTACGGTCTTCCCCGAAGGCCGTTCATTTCTGGGCTTTTTGGGCTTATCTGAGAAATGAAGGAGAACGGAGAAACAACGGCAACTCTGGTTTTTGCTGTGAATGGAGAGAGGTTTGAGCTCTCAAGTGTTGACCCATCAACCACCGTGCTTGAGTTCTTGCGTGCTCAGACTCCGTTCAAGAGCGTCAAGCTCGGCTGTGGCGAAGGTCTGTCTCTGAGGCTCTGTTTCATGATCACCATGTTCATGCTTACTAGCTGTAGTGGTCTAGATCTTTGTAGGGGGTTCATGATTCTGAAACTGGTTAGTCTCCAAAAGGACACTCAAAATACTTTCATGAGTGTAGCTTTGAATCCTCCTAAGTTCATGAGCTAGTGTTGATCCTCTGGCGATTTACTCTGTTTCTTGATAAATTCTTATCCATGCTAATCTCTGCATTAAAGTATTTGAAATTGCAGGTGCCCAATGATTTAAAGAAAAGGTCAATCTGAGATCATTTTTGGTTAAAGTAGTTTGTTTGAAGTGTTTCTAAGGCTCTGTAGCTGTTCCTTCCATCATTACTATTTCTTGACCTTCCCCCTGCCTTAGGCTTTTTCTTAGAAACAGCATAGACCATGTTTGATTGATATGAAAAGGCGGAGTGATCTCTTTTAGTTTTGTAATATATATGTGTTAATTTGATCATGCGATTGAAATTCTTTATGAGGTTTTTATTTCTTTGGTTTCTTTTTTTTTTTTTGGTATATGAAATATTTGGATGTTGGCGCTTCTTTGGACATTTTAAGAAACAGAGACAAAAGAAAAATTGGATATTGAAATTTCAGTGCCACTAACGTAATAATTTTGGGCTTTAGGAGCTCGGAACAGAGCATACTACCCTTTGCTGTTTCAATTATTCGTTGACTTTATGACTAATTTTCTCCTTCATACCATCATGGAGGTTGTTTAAAACAATTTATGAAACAAGGTATATTTATTCTTCTATTTTTATCGATAGCTTGAATATATGGTTCTTCTTCTATTTTTATTGATCGTTTCAACGTGAACATGAAGCTCAGAGGTGTTACTTTTCTTGGTTATGCCTTTAATCTATGTTATGATTGAAATTAGTGCTTTTCTTTTTTTGCCTGTATGTAATATTTGAATCTTTTTATTTGGCATTCTACGAAACAGAGGTAAAACAAACTTCAGAACCATCATCATGATTTGGGCCATGAGGAGCGGGGAATAGAACGCTATACGCTTCTCTGTTTAGAATTATTTGTTAACATCATGACTGATTTTCTTCCTCGTATTTTCATAGAGGTTGTCCAAAACAATATATAAAAAGTACATACATATTTTCTTGTTCTCGTTTATCGGAGTCTGATTATGAATATGAAGGTAAAAGGTGTTAATTTTTCCCCCCAAATTTTCATCAATTTCTCATTTCCTGGTTCAATCTGGATTGTTTACAGGTGGTTGTGGTGCTTGTCTTGTTTTAATATCCAAATACAATCATGTGCTCGATCAAGTTGAGGATTTCACAGCAAGTTCTTGTCTCACACTACTTTGCAGCATACATGGATGCTCCATAACTACAAGTGAAGGCCTTGGAAACAGTAAAGATGGATTCCATCCAATTCAAGAGAGAATTGCAGGATTCCATGCTACTCAATGCGGATTTTGCACTCCTGGAATGTGTGTATCCCTTTTTGGAACTCTTGTTAATGCTGAGAAAACCAATCGTCCCAAGCCTCCTCCAGGTTTCTCGAAAGCCACAGCTGCTGAGGCTGAAAGGGCCATTTGTGGGAACCTTTGTCGCTGTACTGGCTACCGACCGCTTTCTGACGCTTGCAAAAGTTTTGGTGCTGATGTTGATTTGGAGGACTTAGGGTTAAACTCTTTTTGGAGAAAAGGAGAAAGCGATGATGTAAAGAGAAGTAGGTTGCCTAAATATGATGATCAGCACAAGAAGACTAAATTTCTAGAGTTTTTGAAGGAGATCAATCCTGATGTGTTCACGGCTTCTGGAAAACATAGTTGGCTCAGTCCTACTAGTCTAAAAGAGCTTCAAGGCCTATTGGAAACAAACAATAACGCTGGAACCAAGATAAAGATCGTTGTCAGTAATACAGGAATGGGTTATTACAAAGATGTAGAAAGCTATGACAAGTACATTAATCTGAAGGGAATTTCTGAGCTCTCAGAAATAAAAAAAGATGAGACAGGGATTGAAATTGGAACGACAGTGACTATATTTAAGGTTATTGAAGCTTTAAAACCAAAGAGCGGATGTGAGTTTCTCTCTGACTTTGATATGATACTTGAAAAAATTGCTAATCATATGAGTAAAGTAGCCTCAGGGTTTATAAGGAACACAGCCAGTATAGGTGGCAATCTGGTGATGGCTCAGAAGTATCATTTTCCTTCAGATATAGCTACAATACTTCTAGCCGTGGATACAATGGTTCATATAATGAATGGCACAAATTTTGAATGGCTTACAATGCAAGAGTTTTTGGAAAGGCCACCATTATGTTTGGAAAGTGTGCTTTTACGCATTAAAATTCCTAGTTGGGAATCCAATAAAAGTGATCCTGAAAATCGCAAAAGGAAAATTCTCTTTGAAACCTTTCGAGCTGCTCCTCGACCGCTTGGAAATGCACTAGCTTATATAAATGGAGCTTTGTTAGTTGAGGTTTCTCAAGGCAAAGATACAAAAGGGACTTTGATAGATAATTGCAGGCTTTCTTTTGGTGCTTACGGGACCAAACATGCAATAAGAGCAACAAAAGTTGAGGAGCTACTAGTAGGAAAGTTATTAAGTGTTGGTGTCATGCATGAAGCTATCAACATGCTCCCAGCTATTATTGTACCTGAAGAAGGAACTTCAAGAATTGCTTATCGGTTAAGCTTGGCAGCTGGTTTTCTCTTTAAGTTCTTGAGCCCTTTGATTGACCATTGTGATCAAAATTTAAATAATTACTCAAATACATCTACTAGTTCGTCATTCTTTAGGGCTTTAGGCATAGAAGAGAATATTGGGCAAGTCCATCATGATAAAGGTTCTACTTTCCTGTCATCCGGAAAGCAAGATATTCAAGTAGATGATGAGTACCAACCCATTGGTGAGCCAATAAAAAAGGCAGGGGCCGTCATACAAGCTTCAGGTTTGTTTTATATACGTTCAAGCTTCAAAATCATTTGACAACCCATTTTCTTCCCATATTTACAGCATTTGAAATTTAAAGTAGTATGTAAATGTTTTAACAAACATGCTAGCATCTTGTTTTGCTAAAACTTTCAATCCATCTTTAACACCAACCATTTTATCACAGAATATATTTTCATTTTAGAGACTCTTACAGCATGCAAGTTTAACAATCTATCCCAGATTACCTGACTCTTCTACTGATAAAACGAAGGTTTTAAACACCCCAATCCTATTCTCTTGGTTTGAGTTGTTATTGATTTCATGATTTGCATTATGCATTCTTTAAGTACCATTTATTTGAATGATAGATTAATATGACTGAATTCCGTTTCCCAAGCTCCTACCTTGTATCGACTTCACCTTCTTGGTTTCTAGTCTTACTCACTACTATTTGCCTCAAGCCATGAATCATATTGACTGTGATTTAAAAACGAACACATAGTTCATTTTCAATGCTTCTGCTAATCTTCATCCAATAAACTAAGTGATCCTTGTTTCTGCCATCTCTATTTTATACGTTAAGATTTGTGTTAGAATAAAGTTGGCCGCGATTGAAAAACAACCATATAGTTCCTTGTCAATGCTTACACTAGTCTTTTTCCAATAAACTAAGCTTATTCTCTCATTTTGGTTACTCTTAACTTTATGTGTTATGTTTTGGAATATCTTTTTAATTATGAGTTACATATTTTTCAAATAAATTGTAGGCGAGGCTGTGTATGTGGATGACATTCCTTCACCAACAAATACCCTACATGGAGCATATATTTATAGTACAAAACCTCTAGCAAGGGTAAAGAGTATAAAGCTACAAAAGCTAGATGGAGTGAGGGCAATCATTTCAAGTAAAGACATCCCTGATGGTGGGGAAAATGTTGGGTCTGTTTCTACATTTGGTGTTGATCCCTTATTTGCAGATGAGATTGCTAGATGTATTGGTGATCATATTGCTTTTGTGGTGAGTTTTAAGCTACCTTATTTTGGTCCACCAAAAATTTGGATAATGTTTTATTTATTTTTACTGGATGAATGTGTTTAGGTTGCAGATACTCAGAAACTTGCAGATGTGGCTGCAAACTCTGCCATTGTTGAGTATGATTGTGAGAATCTTGAAAAACCTATTCTATCTGTTGAAGAGGCTGTTCAAAGATCTAGTCTTTTTCAAGTTCCTCCTACGTACCAACCACAAGAAGTTGGTGATATAACAAAAGGAATGGCTGAAGCAGATCATAAGATTCTTTTTGTTGAGGTACAGGGAACAAATTAATTCTTCCTTCATTTAATCATTTTCTCTTCTATCTAACACAAACATGCCACAGAAGAAGAATGAGATGTGATCATTGCATGTCAGGTTTTATACATTGATACCTCCGATATATTACAAATTCCACAAATATACAGACATAGACAAGAAATAAACTAATTTATTGTTTAAGAAAATACAAACATGTTCTTTAATAACCACAAAATAAATTCTTATTTCTTTTGTGTTTTCGTGCTGTGCACTTAGGAATTTGAATGTTGTGTGTGTATATTTTTCCCCCATTGATCCTTTTTTCCATTTTCATCTGTTCTTTTTTTTATTTTTGCAGTTCAATGGTGTGTTGTTTTTTTTAATTTTTATTAAAAAATAAAAAAATTAAGGTCCTAGACTGTCTAGACTAGTCCATGTAGATCATCAGAACAAGTCTAGTCCAGGCCAACCTCAGGTTGGTGCTGAACCAGACCAGACCAGACTATGGGCTGCTTTGTGTAGCCCGCTCTTCACTAAATCAGACCTTGGGTTGATGCTCAACCTGATCTAATTTGGTTCATGCACACTTTGTCTTCTATTATTGTCGCCCATTTCTACTTCTATTATGAATAATTAATCTTTGATTTGTTATATATGTCAAGTATATTCCTTATCATCTTTAGATGATTTGACATTTCTTTGGATAATGTGAAATGTAGATCAAAATTGTGTCACAATACTTCTTCTATATGGAGACACAAGCTGCACTTGCTGTACCAGATGAAGACAATAGCTTGACGGTGTACACTTCAAATCAAGGGCCAGAGAGTGCACATACCACTATTGCAAGATGCTTAAATATTCCTGAGAATAATGTTCGTGCAATCACAAGAAGGGCAGGTGGTGGTTTTGGTGGAAAGTTCACAAAAGCTAATCCTGTGAGTATTTCAGTTTTGTATTATGCTTCTTCCACTCCTGTTTACAAACATCTATGAATAACTTCATGTAAACTAAGAAAATTAGTTAAAGTGAGTTATTTCTGGTGAAAATTTAAAAATTAACCAATAAATTCAATAGGCAGAACAGTTTGTTTATTTATTTATATTTTTTTATATAGACAATTTAAAACCTCTCCCTCATAGGAGAGGGGACCCACACACCCACCTACCCTTACTTGGAAACATGGGGTATAGAACCCATAACCTCTTCTATAAGAGGAGGCATGGGGTGTCAATTGAGTTATAAACTCTTAATGTATAGTTTGTTTAATTAGTTAGGGATACTAGGTGGAAAAAATTGATACTCCTCTCGTCATTAATATAGGACCTCATTGTTGAGTTGATTTCAGTCCTAAATATAAAATCTATTTTTTATACTTATCAATTTTTTTTCTAAATTACCCCTATCGATACTTCGTCAACCATAATCAAGTAGAAAAGGAAAAATATATATATATTAAAAAAGATGGCTATGGTATTTTAGAAAAAACATGTCATATTTTTTATAATTAATTAACTTACCTAGTTTTCTTAATATAATCAAATTAGTTAAATAAGTCTTATATTAAGAACCGAAAGAGTACTTTAGACAATGCGTGTTGTATCAAGAGGCATGTTGAAAGTCATTATAATAATAAGGGCCGGAGCGAGTAGTTTTTTATGTTCTTCTCATATAATCTTCTCTATATATGAATTATACTCATGGTAACCATAGATTTGAAGCAGAATAACTCGCTCTTAAAAAAGCTGGTGATGAATGTAAAATTGGCGGGGACAGCATGGGTGTTTCCTTCCTTGTTCTAAATGGCGCAGACATAGAATTTTTGAAATCTCCTAGCAAGTGTGAATCAAATAGATTTTAGATACAAGATATCTGATATTTTTGAAAAGCAAAATAATACTAACATATGAAATTACAATAGAAATCTTTGAATAGTGACATTCAAATCTTTCAGGTTGCTACATCATGCGCACTTGCAGCACACAAATTACGCTGCCCTGTCAGGACATATATGAATCGTAAGACAGATATGATAACGGCGGGAGGAAGGCATCCTATGAAGATAACCTATAATGTGGGATTTAAGAGTAATGGGAAGATTACTGCTTTAGAACTTGAGATATTGATAGATGCAGGAATATATGAGGATGTATCTATAGTAATGCCAAATTATGTAATTGGTGCACTTAAGAAATATGACTGGGGTGTTCTATCTTTTGATGTGAAATTATGCAAAACTAATCTTCCTAGTAGAACTTCAATGAGAGCCCCTGGGAATCTTCAGGGATCATATATTGCTGAAGCTATAATAGAACATGTGGCATCTACACTTTCAATAGATGTAGATTCTGTGAGAAGCATTAATCTCCACACATACCAAAGTCTCTGCACTTTTTACCCGAGTTCTGCAGGTCAGCCTACTGAGTATACCCTAGTTTCTATATGGGATAAGTTAGCTATTTCTGCAAGGTATGACCAGAGGAGAGAAATGGTGGAAGACTTTAATAGGAACAACATCTGGAAAAAAAGAGGTATATCTCGTGTGCCTGTTGTGTTTGAAGTAACTATGAGCCAATCACCAGCAAGAACAAGTATTTTAAAGGATGGGTCCGTTGTTGTTGAAGTTGGAGGGATTGAAATTGGTCAAGGTCTCTGGACCAAGGCGAAGCAAATGGCTGCATATGCACTTAGTTTAATACAATGTGATGGATCTCAAGACCTATTAGATAAAGTACGTGTCATACAATCTGATACGTTGAGCATGATTCAAGGAGGGACCACTTATGGTAGTACTACATCTGAGTCAAGCTGTGAAGCAGTTAGGCTTAGCTGCAATGTCTTGGTTGAGAGGCTAAAGCCATTCAAGGAAAAGTTGCAAAAGGATATGGGTTCTGTCGATTGGAACACACTTATTTCTCAGGTATATGGAAACATGAAAGTTCAAATCATCCTTATTTTCCTTGCTATAGTGACAATGTGGATGTGGTTTTAACATAAATGTGGTAATTCTCCTTATATGTGTTATATTGCTAAGGTAATACATTGATCCTGCATAGATAATACTTCTCCTCAATCATATTGATCAAGGGATGAGATTTAGAAAGTTCCTTATTATTTCTGAAATTTATGACACTTTCGCATAACTTGTACAAGAGTTCTTTTTATTTTAAAAGCATTTTAACCGCCATGTTTGTAATCATCAATATGTTTCCTTGTGCAGGCACACTTACAAAGTGTGAACTTATCAGCAACTTCATTTTATAATCCTAACAGTGCAACCAGCACGTACCTCAATTATGGTGTTGCAGTGGGTGAGGTAGGCTCATTTTGTATCCAATTTCTTATTTAGAAAGTGATTTTTTTTTCAATTAAGCTTGTGAATGGCTACATTGCTTAAATGTATTTAAATTTTTGTGGAAGCTTCTTGTTACATCAAATTATCATTGATGTGGGACACTAAAGGTTGAATATTATTTCACAGGTGGAAGTAGATCTTCTCACAGGAGAAACCACTATTATGCAAACAGATATTATCTATGATTGTGGAAAGAGTCTCAACCCTGCTGTAGATTTGGGACAGGTGAGCGAGCTAAGATTTCTATTTTCTACTCTTTTTCAAAATAAGGGTTGTTTAAATTAATGTCAATGGTGGCTATATCATAATGCAAATAGAGAGAAAGATTGATAGAAGTAGGTAGACCCAATCTTCTTCTCTTCTTGTGTTACTCCATATCAGCTGACAGTTAGGTTTCTTATTACTCCCTCCGTTTTTAGTTTATAAGATGCTTTTGGAGCAAATTACAAAAACCAAATAATCTTGTTAAGTATGGTTAACAATCTTAATTTTTTTTAAGAAGTATAAATTTTCAAAAATGCCCTTCATTTAACACGAACCCTCTAATTAAACTCATGTTTGATTAAGGGAGATTTTTGCAACAAGGTCATTAATGAATCATAATTTTTTTTTCCATAAGTTAAGAAGTCAATTAAAATTAGTTATTTCTTATAAAATATCAAAACTATCCTAAATAAAAGCTATTAGTTAGAGTAGTTTGGTTAATTAGTTAGGAAGTTTTGTAGTTACTTAAGGTTACTAGCTAAGTGAAAAAAAATTAGTACTTTAGACAAAACATGTTATATTATGAAACATGCAAAGGTCCTTATAATAAGGGCTAAAGGGAGTATAAACATCTCCCTAGAAAACATCGTATAAATTGAAGCAGAGACAATAGTTTAATAGTTCTTTTAAGTCTAGAAAGTTTACACAATGTTGACAAGCTGGAAATTGAGCGACTCATTTTCGGATTCATGTAACTACATTGAGTCCACATTATTTTGAAATTAACGAACGAATATGAAAAAGGCTTGGATAACCAAATAAAATAATATGGCATAAGTTATTCTCATGTATAATAAGCAGAAGTTATTAGATTCTGAAGTTGTCTAGTTTGACATAATATTTTTTGGTTGTTGCAGATTGAAGGAGCATTTGTGCAAGGGTTAGGGTTTTTCATGTTTGAAGAATACGAAATAAATCATGAAGGATTAGTGTTAGTAGATGGAACATGGAATTACAAAATCCCCACATTGGACACAATAACTAAACAGTTCAATGTTGAAATTCTCAACAGTGGACATCACAAGTATCGTGTTCTGTCTTCTAAAGGTATGGCTTATCAGCTGTTAGAATTTTTAATTTGACATTTTCTTCCAAATTATTTGTTCCTTACCAGCACATACATGCTTTTTGGACAATCCTCTTTTAGTTAATTCATGAAGCTAATAGGTATGTTTGGCATGGCTTTTGCTTTACTGAAATTGACTTTTTAAACCTAAAAACTGATTTAGGTCTAAAAGTATATTTGCCATAGGTTTGGCGGCAAATGACTTTTTGCCTAAAAACCACTTTAAAGTTGAAGTTTTTTTTTTTTTTTTGGTTTTTTACTTTTCTTTTTTTTATATTTGAACCTTTTGAAACTAGCTTTTTAATATATTATCCAAACAAATTGCCGTCAAGCTGAAACTTTTATGATAGTCTATTAAAACATAAATGACATTACACTAATTAATTTTTACCTCAGCTTTAATTTGCAAAAGTCAATGGAGATAAAAGTCACTTTTGCAAACGTCCATTCGAACAAACCCTGATTTAATAAATCATGTGAAAGTTAATTCCAAAATGAATGAAACCAATATTAAAGCATTTGAAAGTTGAAATTCCTTTAAATTTCCATGCTTATATATGGTTCATCTTTTAGCATTGTCCTTTATGTTCTTAGGATGCTAACATTGAGTAAATCAAATAATTGTTTCAACGAACCAAAATGGACTTGTAAAATAGTTTGTTTTTCACATATTCTCAACTTTCAAGTTGCATGTCATCTATTTGTTAAATGAATTAATTGTTGTTGAACACTTTTTTTTCAAATAAGAATTGTTGTCGAACAGTGATTCCAAAGAAGATATGAAATGTCAGGTGATCAAGCATATGATGGTGCACACGGTTAATTAAATCTCTTATTTCGGACCTGATTGTAATTATCCCTTTCTTTAATACTAAATTCTCCAAAAACAATTCTTATACTAAAAGATACTTGAAATGTTGTTTCGATAGCTTCCGGTGAGCCACCACTACTTTTAGCAGCTGTGGTTCATTGCGCAACAAGAGCAGCAATCAAAGAAGCCAGAAGACAACTTGCTTCATGGAGCAACTCAGATGAACTTGACAAACCATTCCAATTGGATGCGCCAGCAACTATGCCTGTGGTAAAGGAACTCTGTGGATTGGACATTGTGGAAAGATACTTGAAATGGAAGATGGGCAAAATATGAAAGGAGTTTAATATCTTGGAAATAAATTGCTGTGTGTGTTTCATGTTTGGATGCTTAAGAAATATGTACTAGTTTGTCAAAATGTTGTGTTTAACAGTTCTATCTTCTTATGAACTATATTTTCAAGATGATTTCATTTGTATCTTAGGTCATATAGAAGCACTATGTGAGATGTATTTGGAAAACTCTCTTTTTTTCAGCTGTTTCTTGTGTAGTAAATGAAATTTGAAATTTATGTGTATGTCAGCGTGGGCGTTGCACTCAATGCAACTCATGTTAAACTTTCTTGGATTTTGATTTGATACAACTCAATTCTAGTTTTATAAAATATATCATTTAAAATATAGGAACTGAGTTACAACTAACTTAAAACTATACAAATTAAATTGTAGTAAATTAAAATTTAACTAAGTCAAAAATATAGAAACTACAAGATTACGTTTCAAAGCAAAATAATAATATTATGAACAGAGCTACTTCCAAGTTACATTTAGGTCAAACAATGGCTAAGTTTAATCCAACAATATTAATTCTTGACAAACGGATCGCAAAAAAAAAAAAAAAAAAACTGCATGCACCCATGAACAGAAACACATGAGGAACACGCATAAATACTATATTTAGTCTTTAATATAAAAGTCAGGTAATTATTTACAAATATAAAGAAAATTAATTAAAATGATTATTTGTAATAAATAGATGTTATCTGCTTTAAAATATCGTTATTAATCATATTCATGAATACATATTGGAGACAAAGGTTTTATATTACTAAATTGAATATCCAATTAACTTGATCAAAAAAGGCTTTAGATCCTACTAAGTCTTGCTTTGTTGGCAATGTTTGTTTCGTCTTCTAACCATGAACTTCATTTAAAATTTATCCTCGTACTATCTTCGGTCCTTAATATAAGAACTAACAGGGGTTTATATCTCCATAATCACCTCTTTTCTAATTTGGATTAATGACTCTTTGATAATGTTCAAATGCGGCGAAAAGAAAGTTGTAAGATGGTGATTTATTTCCATATTCATGCATTTACTTTTATTTTACTCTCTTGAAATAATTGACATAAAAACGTAAATAAAATTAGTTGATTGCCTTATTTAACCCATATTTTCAAAAGAGGAGCCATAATTATTTGTGAATTCTTTATCGTAGTTTTTAATTAATCTACCATATTACTCAACAATATTCAATTATTCATACCAAAAGTAGTATTAGAAAAAAAAAATTTTGGCTGAATATTAGGAATAAAATATTAACTAATTCATTAACTTTACACAAAGACTTATATATACATGGAGATGGTATGTTGTTTTTTTAGCAAAATTTAAGTCAAGTTGTTTATATTCATTAACTCAAGTTTATAAATAAATTTATAAGTGCAAATACACATTTTAACAACTAACAATATCAAGATTACATGTGTTCATTTTTCATAATAAATTTATAAGCACAAATACACATTTTAACAACTAACAATAACAAAATTATAAGTGTTCATATGAAAGTCTATAAATCCTAACTCACATTATAAGAATTGATGTGAAAAAATTTATAAGTATCCATAGATAAATTTTACAGGTGTGCGCACGTATTTTAACAATTAATACCCACCTTAGTTACTTATAATAAAGATTATTTTTTAAATTATTCCTTATGACAAGAAATATTTTGAAAATTTTAAGATTAGTTGAACAAGATAATAGAAGACATGGTATATCTGTGTATTACTATTACAATGATATAAAAACGGTTATGATATATTAACAAAATAATCACATATATGGTTTCGTTTATTGTCTGCCCTTTTTTTTTTTTGTATATTTTCACCAGCGTTTATTATGGCATTGAATTTGAATTTCCTCAACCATATCTCTCTTTAATTTCAATTAAGAAATTCAACAATTTAATAAATCCAACAAGAGCATCCTATTGCCAAATGAATGAATGATCTTTCTTTGTTTTTTTTTTTTTTGGTTTTTTCAAATACAATAAGCTATGGCTTGAAACCATGCAGAGATTAAAGATCAAAGTGCCAATGCATGGCATTCATTACAATTACAAGACTTGATTGACTAATTTGAAAATATTAAAAAAATTAAAAAAATTATTTAATTGTAGCATGTGTTATCTGATCTCACTAAAATACTTATGTGTATCATTAGATTATACATCAATTTATAAGTGATGTAAATTAGTTTGGAAAAAAATAAATGACAAATATAAATACTTTACTTATAAATTTATATATAATTTGATGATACAACACTTTAGAGTTTTTTAAAGTGTGTCCACCATAAAAATATTAAAAGATTACTTAAGAATGATTGATACATGTTCATTTAATGGACTTTTGAGGATTTAATGGCTATGTTAAAAGTGTCCCAGAAAAATAATTTAAAGACACAATTGCTCCTTAAAAAAATAAATACTTTAAGAAAAAATTATACCACAAAATATTTTAAAATGCTAAACTTATATGAAAAAACACTTCATAATATCAGATCAACCGCAGTACAAAATACATTATTTTATTATCCTCATGTTAAACAGATTGGGTATGGATATATAAAGTAGGGGAGAATAACAACAACAAAAAAGTTAAAAATTACTAAATCCCAGATCAGATTTGATAACAACACTTTGTTTGGCCTTAACAATGCTGAATTTACAAATAATAACAAAAAAATTGTGATCCCTCTTAAATTTCTGGACACATTAAAAATACTGCAAAAGTTGATTTTGAAAACAAATATAAGAATTACATATTAGATATTTGTTTCGTGCTTTAACTTTGTGGAGGAGAACAGCCCAACCATTGTTGTCGAAAGAAATAATTGAATCCCGAAGACACCCGTGATGTTTGTGCTCCCATACAATTATTAAGTCAAAAGTTCTTTGGTTTTATCATTAGTGACAACGTCGGTCCATGTCGTATTCTATGACTTTTATGCTTTGTGCACGTCCGGCCGAAAGCAAAACACAAATAAAGAGAGCTCATGTCGTATTCTACGTCTTTTTTTTAATTTTAATTTTTTTGGTTTCTTTACACAAGTTAGGCCCTACGCAATGGTCCCTTATATGGACAAGAAAAGCTTTAATTAAGACGTTCCGTCCAGTCTGTGCGTTTTCTTCAGGAAATTGAACCATGCTTGAAAGGAAAGAAGGAGAAGGAAAGACAGATACGACTTGGACACCCTACTAACGTCCGACACCAATGTTGTCCCGTCTCAAAAATGATTAGGAGCAGGAATGAACACCTTTAAGATGGGTTAAGCAAGATTGACATGACATGCACCCCTCCTGCCCACGTGCTTGCGGATAAAAGAGAAGCTCGCATCTCACAAATTAAGAAATTGTTTCAAGTCATTAAATATGTTTTAAATTCAGATTTAAGCCTATATTTTTAACAAAATACTAATTAGGCCATAAAATTTAATTATAAATTTTTAAATATGATTAAATAATCATGATGCTCTTCTTTAATAAAAAATAAAAATTGATTATTTTATCTCTCTCAAGTGATCCCTCATTTCTTTTTCTTTTTTCTTTTGAGACCCAATGCTTGAAATTTCTATATATAACTCACACCATTAAGAATATTTTAACAAGACATGTTCAATTACAAATATAAGTAACCTTTAAATAAATATTTTTTATTTTCAGTTCTTTTAATTTACATTGATTTTATTTATTACTCCGTTTTGATGGGAAGAAAAGTTAGGGAAAAAAAATGGAAGAAGAAAAAATGGATAGAAGAGAAAACTAAAATATATATATATATATATATATATCTTCCTTTGGATGGAGGAGAGAAAATAAGAAGAAAAAAATAAGTAAATATGTGAATAACTAAAATACTCTTATTCTTATATCAAAATATATCATGTTATAAATCAAATTAAATATCATAATAAAAAATCATATTAACGTTAATATCATTAAATAATTTAAAATCAAATTATTTGATAAAAATTTATTATCATGTGTTTATATTTTAAAAACAAAAGGATTTAGTAAAAAAATTCTTTTTCAAGCTAAAAATAAAAAAAAGTGCATAATTTTCTTAAATCAAACATAATAAAATGAAATAAACAAATTATGTATTATTTAAGATTATCAATGAATAGTAAAACTTTAATATAAAAGTTGAAAGAGACGAAGAAATTATATATATATTAATTTGTGTGAATTTCTTGCATTTTTCATGGAATATGAAAGAATGGAGTTTATACATAGCTTCTAATTTTGGCCATAGTATAATACGATAATTTTGTTGAATCATAGAGTGGTCATAAGTAACATTAAAAAGAAAAACTTCCATTAAAGGTGGAATGTGATATTATTGGACTATATTTGAGGAGGATATATGGGAAATGTGAGTTTTCTTCTCATTTTCTCTCCATATGTTAAGAGAAAAGTTGGAGAGAAAATAGGTGGGTTTCACACCCTATTTTCTCCCCTCATCGAAATAGGAAAAAACTTATTTCTTTCCCCATTTCCCCCCTCCATTTTCTTTCCTTTCCCATTTTCTCTCCATCCAGACATGGGATAAAACAATGTTTGATCCAACCAAAAACATAAATTATTAAAACTTAATATTAAATATTTATTATAATAAAAATATTTCAAAATCTTAAAATAAATATTTACAACACCGAAAAGAAAAAATTTATTTAAAAAATATTTAAAACCCGAAAAGAAAAAAAATTTATTTAAAGACTACTTATGTTATCATTTGAAATGTTTAATGAAAATATTTTGACGGTTTTAGTTATATATACAAAATTTCAAACACTAAAAAATTATTTATATTTTTTGTCTAAATATTAATAATAAGATATGATGAACCACTTTAGAGGGATAAAATAATCAATTTTTATTTTTAATTAAAGTGGGGCATTATGATCATTTAACAACCTTCAACAATTCCTAATTAGGTCTCATATCTTAATTAGAAATTTATTAAAAGTATAGGGCTCAATTTGTATTTAAATATTTTGGTTGAATTTAATTGTGATTGTCCCTTAAAAATTCTCGTCCCTCCCCCCCTCTCTCTCTCTTTAAAACCTGGATTTGGATCCTCTTAGAATCCTTCTTTCTCCTTTTCTTCTCAGAATCTCATCTCTACCATTGGATCAAATAATAGATGGTTCAGATTTAATATTTTAAAAAGGAGAAAGAAGGATTCTGAGAGGATCCAAATCCTTAAAACCTCCCTCT